ACACATTTTGACTAAAAGTTGACTAAAATGTAATTTTTCATCGACTAAAACTACGAAGGATAGGAATGACTGAAATGTGACTAAAACTAATAACCATTTTCGTCTAAAGACTAAGACTAAATCAAAAACAGCTGCCAAAATTAACACTGAAATATGTGAACACAAACCTACAGACTGGGGGTTGGGAGATCAAAGGAGGGGGGGGAGGGCTGTGGAATGTGACCATCCCCCTTGGGAGACTTCCTCCACACATACCGATGGCCAATTAGTTTTAAACAAAGAGTTTGCAGCATAGGCAACATGGGGGGTGGGGGCTGGTGAACGGTGGTCAATGTTTGTAAACACAATCCCCAGGATGTGTCCTAATCAAACCAAAAGAGAAAATGCAGATATCATTCTCTCTCTGACTCGCTGCTCGAGCTGAGCGCTCATTGGTGGTTTTTACCCCGTGCTGCTGATGAAACTCTCCAATTGGCTCGGCAAAAGTTTGTTGTTGTTTTGTGTCAGTTTTACGTCACCACTTCCATTCACATTTCAGAAACAGTCCGACGTCCGTGGTTGGAACGTATCAAAACCTCGTTCGCAAGTACTAAACCGCGGTTTTATTCACACCGAAAAATACGATTGAATTCTATACGAAATGTTTCAGGTTAAAAAATAAAAAATAAATGTTATCCAAGCTTTTCAATTTGTTAACTGTTACAAACAAAGTTTTGTACTGCTACTTGTATATAAAAAATAAATTGGAACCTTCGAAAACGATACGGTTTATATGTTTATGACTAATTTTGTTTGTTTATCATGTATGAAAAGCGCCGTTGTTAATTACAAAGGACGTGTAGTAATATTAGTCACTACGGTTTGTGTCATACACTTTTTCTCTCTGATAAGCTTCGTCGTCTTTTTTTGTCGCAATTATATGGTAGACTGTTTTCTTGACACGATAATTACGAAGTTATTGACCGCATAAGAAATATTATATGAGTCTAGTATCCTCTTGTCTCTACAATTCAACTATTTAGTTCCGCCAAAATATATAATAAATGGTCGTCCCCACCCCTTGGAAAAAAGGAAAGTTAAAATGTTGTAGGAGGCTCCCGGCGATGTTTACTAACTTGAGTTGGAGACGAATTTTTTTGATTTTAGTGTCCCGGTTAGTAAAGCGGAAGCGGAAAGAAAGTACGACACCGTTTCTTGTTCCGTTGGAGAATCAGGTCTATAGAATGGTACTGAACGCGTATGTACGTTTACGTTGCACGTGCCAACACGCTACTGGTTGTGTTGTCTGTTCTATACCTGTGTTCCACGCGACGTTTACATAAATCATAGGCATAGGTACCACTAAACTCACCCCCCCCCAGTTGGAGGAGCAATCCGCCCCGTACGAAAAAAAATTGTAACTTCAATTTTCGGTAGTTAGACCACGTGAAACTCTCTCGTTGTACTCCTCTAGAATACCTATGTAGAAAGTTGTGGGAATAAAACTCTATAAATATGTTTAGTGAGGGGAAAATTTGACCATAAGAACAATAAAAGTTGTTTAGAAAAAACAATTGACAGTGTGTGTAGACATTCTTGTCAAAGACCAAAGTATACCTCACGACTCTCGACAAGCCTTATATCGCGATAACGCTAATACCTTCGGCTATGTTATTTAGTTTTAGGTCATTGGTAAAAGACTTAAGGGGTCCTACCACAGATTCACTAGATTGAAGATAAGTATAAGAACTGCCCTTCTTGGCACATTCTACCCGCGGGTAACTAGGCGTCATACGTAAAGTTTTTCGCTTTATATGTAGTGTGTAATAATATTGTTATCCGAAATTTTCGTGGTAACTATTGGTAATGGGAGGTTAGTTTGAGAACTGCCCTTTTTTTGCCCAGATTTACCAACCCGGATATGACATCCGGATGGAACATATGTATGTTTCGGTAAGTTCGAATCTGCAAGAAAAGACCTTTACACAGTGTAGTCCCGTGGAGTTCAATTTGTTAGTCCACTTGTTGAAATTCCCACGTATGGCGGTGGAGGCCTCAGCCGAACTGAGCCAAACGTAAGTATTTCTACGGTGTTTACATAATTAGCAATTACAGTCTATACATAGATGATTCAGTTATGTACACAGTTTCGAGTTCTAATTCTAGTTGACATAAAAATAACGTGTATAATGTCCATGACTCTGTTGCTTTACGTCGTAATCCGAATGTTGGTCCTCACGTTGTTCGTCATTTCACTTTTCATTAAATGATGTTAGATGTCTTATTATTTATTTTATATCTTAAGAAAAAATCTTACTTACTTACTACTTATTTGGCACTCCCCGTACTATGTGATCTATATGTTTGTCGGACACTCGTCATAATTGTCACACATACTATACGATTCTATATATTTCATAATAATTTTGCATTCGTCACGTCATATCATATTTTATATCTATAAATAAATTACTATTTGGACACC